AAATGCTTTTTCTATTTCCCAAAAAATGAATAATTAAAAAAGATTAACTAGTAGATACATTTTTCGAACAATTAATATCACTTATAAATTATTATTTTTGCATTTTTCAAAAAAAACTTTTTTTTTATCGAAACTATTCATTTTATGCAATGTTGCGATAATAAGGTGGTACTTTTATAGTGTCCAGGGGCGGCACTAACGTTGAATCTGGCGGCACTGCTCTTTAGAATTCACGAGCTCGAAGGAGCTTGTTTGTTTGGAAGGCTTATGTGGGGGCACAGTCCATCACGTAGAGATCCCTTAAGAGATTTAAATGTTTAATATGACGCATATGCCGGCATCCATCTCTGAGTAACCCATAAGGAATTGCTTAAATATGGTCCGGACAATGCGTAGGGACTATGAAAAATATGGAAAACTAAAAGAGTCTATGGAATGGAGTTTGGATGGACTACAAAACTGGGCTATTGGATGAGACTACCGAATGTCCGCCTTCTCAACAGTCTCAGATTCAATATTTGGCAAACGGTGACTCGCCTCCCACTAGTGGCATTTTTTTTAACGTTGGGAAATGCATTTACGCACGAGGTGTGGGACTCACCGGCAAAGCCAGTACTACCCGCTAAAACCCAACAAAACCTTCCCCCGTCTTAATGGGTCGTTGCAGGATCGCTTACGCATTCAACTACGACGCCCCGACGGCAAGTCTGCCAAAGCAGACCACAACAACCATTGGGTTGCTCCAAAATCCACTCTGCTATCAGAGAAGTACCAGGAGCAACCCCATGGTAACATGGTACACCGCCCTCCGAAGAGGGCCACTTCCCACCGCCCACCAAAGAGGGCCACCTCCCTGTGCGTTTCTTGGCTTCGCACCCGGTTGGATTGCCGGGCACCACTGAGCCCCCCACCACGACAAGGTGAACGCACGTTGGGCCCACAAGTGGCATAGCGCTTCAGGCACAACATCAGTGTGGTCGCCTAAGGTTATCGAGAAGTGTGCACCGGTTTCACCATCGCAAGTGCTCGTGGGTTTCCCCGTTATTTTACAGATTGAGCACTTCTACCCTTTCAAGGACTTGGCTCTTGCGCTTTACTCTGGACGGTCAATGAAGGAACGCCTCTGGGCTAAAGAGTCAATAGTTGTACAGCTTTTTAATCCGTTCTTTAAATTTAATAATCCGTTCACAATCCGTTCTCTAAATTTAACCGTTTTAACATACAATCTTTGTGCAGCCGAAGTCGTGAAACTTTAAATATTTACCCAAGTGTTTCCAATTGCAAAGTTCTGTACTGGACCCAATTCTTTATATTCTATTCAAATGATGGAAAATATTAAAAGATGGACAATCGACAGAAGAAGTAAATGGCATATTTTGTTTGTGAATAAATCATCCAGTGCTTGTCCAATTTTTCGCCATAAGCTAATATTTTATTGTAATGATACCTATTCACTGAATCGCCGTCCACTATCGTTTACGGGATAAAAATCTGTCTTAGCGCGGATTGGAGCTTTCAATGAAATCTCAGTTCGGTTTGCATCAGTAATTTTTGATAGCCATAAACCTGGGTCGTTTTAAGTATTGAGTATAAGATTTTCAATTCCGCCACTCATGGATGTAGACATAGATTTAGATACGTATTTCTGGCTGGTGGTGTTGACGACGGTGGCGGCGGTGGAGTAACAATGATGTTGTTTACTTGCTATTATCATTGTTAGGTAGCAACGGCATCCCAGAGATTGTCGAAAAAATTATTTCAGCTGCTTTAGGCTTAGAATGCAATAACATATCACCTTTACTCACTGGAAGCTTCTTGACCATCACCTTTTATATATTTATATAGAGACCCGTACAGATTTTCTTCTACCTGCTTTCTTTTGATGTCTTGCCTTTTTGAACTACCAAACTCAATTTTTCTACTGGCATCACAATCGCGCGAACTCATTTAGAAAATATTTTTTGCATATAAAATTAATAAAAAAATTACAAGCAGTTGTACACAGCGATTTTACTAATTCATTCTTTACTATAATAACGTAAAATTTAATATTAATGGCTTATTGACTTAAACGCTACATGCTTGCACTGGCGCGATGTGGGTTTGTGATGTCCGGCGTAAGGCAGGAGATTCTGATACACTTGGGTTGTTATGCGAAGGCGCGAGGCCCCTACAAGAACGAGGCCACAGGCGGTTGCCCTGCTTGCCACCCCCTATGGCCGCCACTGACCTTCACCACGGGAGATTATCTTATTCCCAGAAAATGCGTTATAATACACAACAGTCATCATACCTATGTTTATATATAATATATAGTCTATCTATTCCATACTAACTGTTAAAACGTACCTATCCGAGCGTAGCGAGGGTGAGCCGCTGGTCAGTAATAAGGACACTCGATTTATGTTAACAACTTAAATGTCCGCAAAATAGACACAATATAAGTAAAACAATCGAAATGTTCATATATGACTCATGGAACAAGGAAATGGTTAAGATTTTTTGCTCAATCTAATAATAATCACGCTAAATGTGGATATTTTCACTACTTAGGTACCTCCGGCGTACCTACATATTCATTAACAAAAGCCTATTTAATAACATTATTCTACTACGTATATTATTTCAAACCTATTATTATGATCGTAATTAGTCTAGTAGATATAATATTTTGATATTCATACGAGTACCTACCAAATAGTAAGGCTATTATTTTCGGGTTATTTGAAAGCATTTGGTCCACATTTAATGGTCCAGACATTGATGTTGCAAGTTAGAAGGCGGTTATTTTGAAGGGGAAAGGATTGTCGACCTACTTGTTACAGCAATGGATATCGTATTAGGTTGCGTTAATTCTATACGAAACGTTCTCATTTCGTCTCGTTATATTGACGTGACCAAACGTAGTAAACATTTACAATACTAGGCTCATCTAAACAAGTATATAGAGATCTTTTAGAATTTATAACTAGACGTAGCCATTTCTTACTCCGTTTTCAATTTTCGCCAGTGGCGTTAAATGAATTCCTATTATTCAAATTAAATTAAAAAACAAACCCGCCATTTAATTAGACAATTTGTGGTGGCGTCTTGGATTTGGAAATTATCATAGTGCATAGTATTCTATTAGTCAAGCCCTTTTATTTGATACCCATATTGAGGGAGTTGTGAAAAAATATGTAATCCGCTATTTTGTAGCGGCAGCCATCTTGGACCGATTTTCATCAAACATAGCTAAGAACATTCCCGACTAATTCACCTTTCAAATAAAAAACCAAAATCAAAATCGGTTCATCCGTTTGGGAGCTACGATGCCACACACAGACAACAATCAAACTTATCCGCCCCCTTACTTATTTCGTTTAAAAAAATCTGAGAAACACACACGCTATTCTAATATTATAAAGAGGTACAGTTTGTTTGAACGCGCTAATCTTAGGAACTTCTAATCCAATTTCTGTCTGATTTCTGAAAAAATCTTTTTGCATTAGGTAGCCCGTTTATTGAGGAAGGTTCTAGGCGATACATACCTACGTGTTTTCATATATTAGTATGGGTATTTGATGACACGTTTGGCTGTTTGTAGTGACCCTACTTGCTGTGCCAGTGGTCGCGGGTTCGAGTCCCTCTGGGGGCATTCATTTGTGAATTTGAGCACGAATGTTTGTACTCCAGTCATGGGTGCTTATTTTTATAATATGTATGTATTTAAAGTTATATATGTGTAGTGTATAAACTATCTGGTATTCATGGCACAGGCCTCGTAGCTTACCATGAAACTTATAGATGGGTTCTGTGTGTTAATGTCCCAACATATTTATATATCATCGCATGCTATTACCCAAGGGAGCGGAGCAGTAATCATAAATGTCAAGAAATCGGGCAGACTTCCATACATTATTGTAAAAAGCATAAAGCCAGAGTTTTTTTGTGTAACCAACCAGGGCGAAGCCTTGGATGCTGGTAGCCTCTAATAATTATATAGTATTAGTACCTAATCTATAATAATATAATACATACATTATTTTAGTTTTTACGTTACGACCAAATTTTGTAAGAATAAATCAGTTTTCTCTATAGTGAATTTGGATATCTATATGTAAATAATAAATTCAATATCTAGTAACTTCTTAATATTGGGTAGGTATTGTACTTACATGTGATACGAGTGTCGTAAGCGGTGAACAACGGTTTAATAAACACCTTGCCTAAGGTGTGAGTGCTTGGCAAATGATAGTTTAGAGCTTGTTATAGCGAAAATCATAGTTAAAGACTTGCCATAAATGTTTTTTTTCCAATAATTCTTAGCTAGCGTATTACCCTGGCTCTGCTTGGGTGCGCCCCTATGTGCCTAACAGTTTGTTACTCTTGGTCATATCTAAATTTCATACAAATAAGTTCAGCCATAATAGTATAGGAGTATCAAACATACATACAACGGTATTATATTTAAAAACGAATAATAATAAATATAGGGTACAAGTACGGAAACCTCATAAAACTTGACCTATTATTATTAGAGGTGTTTTTATCAAGAAAAATAGTTCAATTATATTCCAATAGATGCCGTTATATGTAACGATTTCCGTTGCTTACTACGGTTACTATGGTAATAAAGACATGTCTATAAAATGGTTCGAGTTTGGGGATCAGCGCCATCTATCGTTTATTTAATCAAACAAGTTTTTGTTCGATTAAATAAACGATTATAATGAAACGGGATCAAATAAACGGGCTATTTAGTCTTTATTAGGGCTATTTTTAGGACGCTTTCTTTGTATAAGATATAGTATTGTCTACTTAGTATAGTGTTGGAGTCATAAATAGTAGCTAGTATAATGTGTAAATGTTTGTATGTTTTAAGAAAATGTACTTAACATGTATAAAGCTATAAAAGAAACAAATATGAAAATTAACATTTTATTTAAAATCCTACATTGTATCATACACTCATATTTTTCTATAACCTACAAGAACAAATAATATAAAAATAAACATTACTTTTTCTTTTTCTTCTCACTCCTACTACCACCCATGTCCTCCAACTGCTGTTTGAGCTCGATTAGTTCATTGTCAGGAACATAGCGGATCTCCTCGTGTTCGATTGTATGTTCATGGACATTGAGTGTGCATCCTTCCGGAAGCAAAGATCGACAGACCCGTAACAATGTTCCCAAAGCCCACGCAGGTACATCTACAACCTAATTCAATATTTTTATGGTAAGTCCAATGTATGTTTCAATTAACTATCAACAATAATGAAAATAGTATATACTATTTTAATCAATATATACTTAATACTATTAGACAGAGATCCCAGAGCCCCTAAACCTACACCATTTTAAAAAAGCTAAAATTTTGAAGATTAAGGTGCCTTCCTATTGTCATCTCTCGCGCGATGATGCGATGCGAATTCATCGTGCGATGAAATCGCTCGCGCTATAAGAAATCTATCTTGTTGTTTGGAGTGATGAGATCACACTCGAAATGACGAAATATTATTTCGAAAAAAAATGATCGCGCGATCTTCAATACGACATTCATTACATACCAGTATGTTTGAACACACGGTCGCACGATCATTTTCGTCGGACGCAAGTATCATCGCGCGAGCGATGGCAATAGGACGGCGCCTTATAGTCTAATAAGCAGTTTAGAGGATATCCATACATGCTAGTTTGAAAGCGGGGCGTTTTTATAGGTAACAGGTACTAAAGGTACATAAAAATCTTACTCATCTACGTTTAAGTAGAAAAACTGGTTTTTACACATATTTTACAGAATAAATATAGTTTAAAACCAATATTCATTATTGCCAGACACTTTTCATGGGCGTTAACATTTAACATAGATGAGAAAGAGTAAATTGGTCCCGCTTTCAAACTAGCCAATTTGTATACTGTTATAATACTAATAATCTTCAAAATTTAAGTTTTTCTAAGATGACGTAGATCTGGGGGCTCTGGGATCTTGGACTATATTGAATGACATAAAAAAACAATTATTTGAATTTTAATAAAGATCTATACATAATGTAATGTCTTGTTATGTAAGAAAGGAGTAGATTGTCTAAATGCATATTAATTACTTGTCTAAACATGTAATATGCATTTAAGTATAATGTGTAAGTGGAGCAATAGTGAATAATTTTGGGATTATATAATGGCACCATCTGTATGCACAGTTTTTAAATTTAAACTTATGCTCACGACAGAAAGATCGATACCATTATAACATTTTGGTAGTATGTATATTTAATTATTATATTTATGCTCGTAAAATTCCTAGTCCTGGCGATGCATTGGTTAACGCGCAGACCACCACGGGACCAAAATGGCTGAAACTTTGACAGCCTTTCGAAAATATATAAGGGTCTTAAGATTTATCAACAGTGAAATTGTATTGTGTTTGGCTAATGCTAAATGTATAAGAACTTGTTAATTATAATTAATTATTATTACACAGTATTATTATCTTTAAAGTAATTAAACATCCAGCACTTTAACCCTAGGAAGAGATAGTTGTTATGATCACTAATTCAAACACAGTTAAAGTAGAATTTAGTTAGTAATTATTTAGTTAATAAGTTATCGTAAAAATCACATTAATATTTTATTATATTACAAAAAAATATTATAATACCTGTACATTTCTTTCATAAACATTAAGGTGGTACTCAGTTTCTACAGCTGAGCTTCCTGGCTTAAACTTTTGCACTTTCAACTGCTGTGCTGGTGTTGCCCAGCTAAAAACACAAGTAAGTTCTATACAAGTAAGTTGTATACAATATAAGAGGGGTGCTGTTAGTTTAGAGGATAATCCACGGAAGAAGAAAAACAAGGGTGCTAAGTAGGTGTGGCCCATTTGTTACAATCAATCAGGAAGAGCAACACCTATTAGTTGGCAATTGTGTTCTAACATTGCATCGGATTGCATGTCTATGAATAATATACATATTCCCCAACTAAAACTGTTCAATAAATTAATATTGTCCAATATTTATAATAAAACTTTTAAATAAAAAATATTTAAATTATTTTTTAAGTCTTAAATTTAAAAAATGTGGATTAATCATCTATCTTTTCAGAGTTGGATCTGTAAATGGTAAATGGTGTAAATGGTGGTGAAAAGTAATTAGAATGAAGTAAATAAGAAAATGAGGAAGAAAGTATAGGAGAATGTTGCAACTTTAGCTCTCCATAACTCCTGTTTCTTTCATATTCATCATTTTTGTACATGTAGAATGTAGATTTTGCACTACTCAAGTCTCAAATATTTAAACATTTAAGCTACTTTTCTAAGACCCTTGTGCGTGTCCCATATATTAAACTTATGCCAAAAAAGAGCTTATATAGGTAATATTTTCCCAATAAGACAAAATTCTTAAACAATTACCACTCTTCCACTTCTACTCCCATTATCTCAGCATATCTGTGGATTTCTTTTTGACAAGATTCTAGCAATGCAAAATCATAACCTTTTAGTTGTAAGTTTAAACAATCATATACAGGCTCATCTGGCTGCATACTCTGAAAATAAAAAATAAAAACCAATTTAAAAAAAACACTAAAAAGTAAAAAATTACTGATTGGTAACTTTAATTTACGTTAGATACCTAATCAGATAATTTCAAAGTCTGTGCGCTTTAATCGGCTGGCACCAACTTCGAAAATATTCAATAGAAATCACTACCCACCCAGACTTTGCTCATATGTGATCTGGGCTTCCCATGTATTTTGGTAAATTATACACATTCTATTAAATGATAATTTTAATGATTCACAGACTTAACATTTAGATTACTAGTATGTACTTATTATATTTATTTTACATAAAGTATACAGATGATTTCCCAAAACAACCAACAACAATATTGTATGTTGTACACATTCTGTGTACAACATACAATAGTTAAAATAATGAATACAACATTTTTAACAATAGGTATTTATCATTCAAGAAAAAATTATATAAATTATAGTTCCTAAATTATTATTTTGTTTATATTTGACATTTTCAATAATAAGGACTTGCTTTCTCTCTGTTTCCTCTCCTTTTTTTTCTTTCATTGTTTTATTTAAATGAAATGTAAATATTATTGTTTTTTTTTGTTTTCAATATTTTTATCTAATTTTAAATGCACATGTTTATATATTTATACATATTTATTTGAATGTTATGTACAGATATAATTGGACAACAAATTTAAAATAATAATTTAGCTTTTAATATGTAGTTGTAATTTTTTTATTTGTTTTCCGTTTCTGTACCTAAATAAATAAAAAAATATATAAAAAGTATTAGTCTATAGATAAAGTACATTTTGATTTCAATGTTTAATTATATTATTAACATGTGTCAATCATATTATTAACATTAAATTCATTCGATAATTTAATGATTACCCTATTACAAGCAAACTTGTTTGAAAAATCTGGATAAGAAGTATCAAAGAGCTTACAAAAAACACTATCTGAAGATTGAGAAAGCATGGGTAAATATTTTCATTAAAGCATTTTAATTGTTTTATCCTTTACTTACAATTAAATAATCCGGTTCATATAAATCACTTTTATGTCTTTGAAGTGGTAGTAAGGTAGTATGAGAAGGAACGGTGATTTGTTTTTTCTTTATAAAACGGTGAAATTTTGTCTGAAATAAAATCTTAGAATAATAAAAAGAATAAATGATGTTTGATAATAGTATCTGCCATTGCTAATATATTACATACCAAATTATTGAGTTTTGTTGCAAACATTTTTCAGTTAATGAAATGAAGAAAGATATAAATAGTGTTTGTACATCTATAAATATAGCGTCAGAGAAAAATCGTGTATTAAAAATAATATTAGATATATAAAATTAAGACATAAAGTACTACTTGAACGACTTTTTGTTAATTATTTAAACTTTTATAGGCATTAATCAATATACATAATAAAATTGAAAAACATGGATGAGGGATGACTAATAATGTGACAACTGACACATGACACAATTTGTCAGCCTGACAATGTCAGGTATTGTCCATAATTACACACGTGACACTGGCATTGTGATTGCGTCTGTATATTTATCTCCTTTTATTTGTCATCTATGCCATGTAGTGTTGTAGTTTTTATTCTGCCTGACCACAGATTAAGGAATAAGGAGACTACATGTCTGACTCCCGAAGACCATTGCTTTTCGAAAGACAAATTTAATAAAGCTTAAAATTATAATATTACTAGCATTGCCCGCGGCTCCGCCCGCTTCAGACTTCAAATGGCCTAAAACTAAATTCTTAGGTTTTACATATTAGTATACTCTTACATTGCAGTTTTTGTATTTTTTCTCAGAAATAAGACATTTTCCCACTTTAAAAAGTATCCTTTTTGTTGACCCGGAATCCGGATAACCAGCTATCATCATACCAAATTTCATCAAAGTCCCTCCAGTGGTTTTTCGATGCGGTAACAGACAGACAGACAAAAATCCTAAAAATTATAGATTCGGCCTCTGTTACGATAACAATGTTTATTTCAATAAGATTTTCCATAAAATATTTAATGTACAGATTCGACTTAGAATTTTATTATATGTATAGATTTGATTTTTTTGCAGTTAATTTACTTGAACATAATATTCAACTTTTTACACACTTATTCAATATAATCCATAAATTATTCATGACTAGCGACTCACCCTCGGTTCGCTTGGGTTCGTAATTAGCTTGCTTGCCCATATTAACTGACATCTTCATTCTTACCCCCCTATGGGATTTCCGGGATGACAACTATTTCACTCACATTTTAGTACCTATATTTATTTTCTTTTAATTTTCTTCTATACAAAACTTTCTGACAATAATAAGCAAAAAAAGGAATTAACCAATTTGGTGCAGTCGATCGGAAGTTATGCGCGTACATACATTCGGGGACTCATTTTTATTTATAAATAAAATATAATAATAATAATAATTTATATAAATATAGATTTCGACTTAGTGCAGCAGAAAATCATTGTATCTTTTTTTCCCAATCTACTTTTTGTTTTAATTATTGTTATCATCTGTGCTTTTAATGTCAGATCGTCAAATGAAAAGGTTATAGAATATCAAGGATTTGGGAATTATAAATTTTAGAGTTGATTTTGTTGCCTTCATTTGTCGGCACAGAAATAAATGGTGAATCTTTAAAAATTAAAATCTTATTTATTCAATAAGTATGTCGACGGGTAGTACACCCTTTCCTAAGTGGCAATTAGCCATTCTTCTTGGTGCTCCCTTAGCTATTGGTTTAGGTTACCTTTATCTAAGAAATAGATTAGAAGACCCCGAAAAGAAGAAGGTTGCTGAATTAAATGCCAAAACAACCATTTCTTTAGATAATGAAGATAATGCTAAAGCAGCTGAGAGCGCTATTGACCGCGCTATGAAATTAAAGGGTGCTGGAAATCGAGCTTTTCATGCAGGAGAATATGACAAGGCTATTGCTTTGTATAATGAAGCTATTGAGGCATGTCCACCTGATCGCCCTATTGACTTGGCTACATTTTACCAAAATCGCTCTGCTTGCTATGAAAAGCGTGAAATGTGGGAACAAGTTAAAGAAGATTGCACATTTGCTCTTAAGCTGAATGAGAAATATGTTAAAGCTTTTCTTCGACGATCGCGAGCCGCAGAGAAGAGTGGTGATCTTGTTTTAGCTCTAGAAGATGTAACTTCTGCTTGTATTTTAGAGAGATTCCAAGTTCAAAGTTCACTAGTAAATGCAGATCGCATTCTGAAAGCTCTTGGTAGACAACACGCACGAGAAGCACTTGCAATGAGACAACCAGTAATGCCATCCAAACATTTTATCAAAACATACTTTTCAGCATTTTCTGAAGATCCTCTTACTAAGATCAGTTTTGACCAAAAATCTAGTAATGGTTTTATTAAAGCAAAGCAAGCTATTGAAGCCCAGGATTATGAATCAGTGGTAAAAGCTTGTACTGAAGAGGTGGACACAGATGGAGAGTACAAATATGAGGCTTTGCTATTAAGGGCAACATTTTATCTTCTGCTAGGTAGACATGACGATGCTCAAGTTGATCTTGCCAAAGTTATAGACAGTGATGCCTCCATTAAAGTAAGGGTAAATGCACTTATTAAGCGTGCTTCGCTTTATACCCAATTGGAAAATACTGAACGCTGCTTGGAAGATTTTGCAAATGCTGCGAAATTAGATCCAAACAACTCTGATATTTATCATCATCGTGGCCAGGTATATCTATTACTGGAACGTATGGATGAAGCAACTGCAGAATTTGCAAAAGCTGTTGAATTGAACCCTGACTTCTCGATTGCTTATATTCAGAAGTGCTATGCTGATTATAGACATGCTCAATTGCATAAAAATATTGGAGCCCTGACTCAGGTACGAGCTGACTTCGAAAAAGCTTTGGAAAGATTCCCAAGATGTGCTGAGGTTTATATTCTATATGCTCAAGTTTTGTCAGATCAGCAAGAATGGGGTCGTGCAGAAGCCCTATTTGAATCAGCTTTGGCTGTTGATTCCAATAATGCAACATTATATGTTCACAAAGGACTTGTACAATTACAGAAGAGTACAGATTTTGATAAAGCTGTTAAATTGATTAACAAAGCTATCGAAATTGATGACAAATGTGACTTTGCATATGAGACCCTGGGGACAATAGAAGTCCAGAGGTAAGAAAGTAAAAACAAAACATCTTAAAAAAAATGATTGATCCAATTTAAAATAAGTTTATGACTTGACCTTGTGATTTTTTGTATTACTAAGATAAAGGTTATCACTTGATATTTTACTGCTATCTATTTTACATATAGGAATTATCTTTTACTTGATGTATAGGAAAACTTCTTTGAAAATGAGCAAGAGATAATAATGTAGGTTTTACTTCAAAAATACATAAAGTTATAATATATTTTATTATTATAAAATTGTATTTTTTTATTGAATAACACATTTTATTTATAATTATACCATAATTTTATTAGAAAAAAATAAGAATATTTTAGTTATATATTTTATTATTATTTAATGGCATATAAATTCATATCCTTTCATATTTTTTTAGGATTGGGATTTATTTTTTCAATAGGTTAAAACTAAAAAATAATTTATAACTGTTTTATTTTTCAGGGGCAATTTAAGAAGGTCACTAGAGCTTTTCGAGAAGGCTATTGCATTAGCAAAAACAGAACAAGAAATGACTCACTTGTTCTCATTAAAAGATGCTGCAGCTGCACAGTTGAAAGTTTCTGAACGTTGGGGACTGGATTGGACAGTTAGTTAGACTTTATCTAGGTCTTGCATCAAATGCACAACGAGAACAATATCCAGTATGATTATGATACATCCAAGTAGGTTGGAATATATTTAATTAGATGTCACCTTGTTATTAAAATTATTTATGTATTATGTTTTGAACAAAATGCAATAAAGTCCTATCTTGTATTTGTAGTGTAGTTGGAACTGCAGTGTCTGAGCCATAACGATGGTTGTTTTAACATAATATTGCTGTATATGTGAGGTTAGATTTTGGTCTGTATCACAACTGTATTGGAAATAATCTCGTTGTGACTTAATTGTGTTGTATTGCTGTAAAGAGCTGTGCCGCCGCCAACTCGTCGCTTTGAACCCCCACTATATGTGTTGTGAACATTCTGTTGAAATTGTGAATTTGCTTATTATGTAGACATTCTTAGACATGTGTGTGTACATAATATGTATGTTTGTATGTAAATGCAGTCCTTAATATTATGTATAGTATATGCAAATATTCTAATGAAGAATAAAGAACTTTATTCTCAAGTGAGACTTTATAATATGTACATATTAATTTTAGTTTTATTCCAAACATGTAGTTTGTTTTATCATGGCTATTTATGTAAGTTTCAAAATATATTAGTGTTTTAATGTAGATATTTGGCATTTAAAAAAAGACATTTAAAATTTAATTTATCAAATATGAGTATTTAATGGTAGGGCTTTTGTTTTAACTGCGACAAATATGCATGATATGATTGAATCAATATTCATATAAAATTAATAAATAATCAAACCAAAAAAATATATATGTATAGGTTCTACTTCATATTGAAGTCAAGATTTTTTTAAACATTTATAGACTTTTCAAAAATTGAATTAGTATTCTGTAAAAAAATTTAAACTTATGTTTGTAAGGTTTGTGTTTAAATTGTATACTTAAATAAAGTATTCCAACTTATTGAGGTTACCATGCATTTAACACTGCCAATACTTGCAACACCATTAAAGGATAATTGTGAGATCATTAAAGGATAAGATGTGAGAGAAAGCTAATTACTTACATTTCTAACTATACTATTTTTATCAACCATATTTTATGTGTATTAAATTTTATTTGCATACAGATATATATTTATTTGAATTGAATTATAACTTATTTTATATATTTCTATAATAATATTCGATGACATTATATATTCAATATATTCTGTATGTACTAAATAATTAAATATGTGATACTCATTTTGTATATGAAAAACACAAAAAGTATGTAAATCTATCCTATAATACCTGGAATATGTTGCAGACATATCACATGATTCATCTTTTTACAAACAATGTAGTTGCTGGCTTGTAACATGCCAAAAGCAAATTGAAAAAGTGTTGTATTGTAAAATGCACCACTGTGGGTATTTAGGGCCTTTTCACCATAAAGCTAATGTTTCATAAAGCCTGAATTTAACATAATTTTGTCAGACGTAACGTCGTGTATTCTACATAATATTTGTTTTGTAAAATAACTAATGATTTCTTAAAATAGCTGGTTGTATAATTTTTTAATAATTTAATTATTATAAATGTAAAAGTGTGTTTGTTTGCTTGTCTTTCTTTCACGTCGAAACGGAGAGACGAATTGGGGTGATTTTTTATGTTGAGATAGTTGGAGGGTTGGAGAGTGTCGTACGCTACTTTTTACCGCGGGAGATTATCTAATTCCCACGGGAAAACACGTTACAAATTCAATCCAAAAAAATATTTATGATCAGAATTACTTGAAACTTGGTATTAATACTCTTCAATAAAATTAAATAAATATGTGTTTTAGTATTTTTAGAAATTCATTCTTTATGAGGGTAAAATAGGGGATGGAAGTTTGTATGAAACTACCTTTTTAGATATTTTTTGTAGTTTTAGTGCGAGGCGCGAGCGATGCCGCGGGTTCTGCTAATAATTTTTAAATCTGAGAGCGTTTGCAAACAGACGGCCCTGTTTGAATAATGATGATTTATACAATATGTCTGCGACATATTTAATGCGAGTAAACAACTTGAGCTCTCAAGTCGAGCTTGCCTTGTGCCCGCTTTTATCCGTAAAACAAATTGTTTTCTAGTTAAATGCCAGTCTTATGCCCGATTTCACCAACGTCATCTAAGTTTAAGGGATCCCCTAAGCATGGTTAGGGGGCTGTTAGGGGACAGTTTCTGTTTCACCGACAGTTAGGGGTCACCTAAATATTAAAAGGTCCCCTAAATTTAGGTGCTCGAAATATGGGCTTAAAGACGATCGTAAAACGAAATTTAATTTAGGGGCTAGTTTAGGGGACTTTTAAGCTAGGGATCCCATAGGGAGGGATAGGTAGGTGGTAGCTTATGGGTTGTCGGTGAAATCGGGCATTAGTTTGACAAATTCATATACAGGTCTAACAGACCGCCGATTTGTCAACAGCGAACTTATCTTGTTTATTAACGTAAAATATAATGTTATATTTTGTATATAAAACGCAGCTTTAGTTTTGCCTACACCATAAAAAAAAATATTTGCTTAAATTGTTAAAATAAATGTATGCCATTATATAAAATTATAAAAAGTTTAAATAAAAGAAACTTAGAAATAAGTTAACATAGCCGCTAGAAAAGTGTACACTATTTTTAATAATTCGCTTTTTCGATTGTATATATTGTAATAACCATTGTTTAATTGTTTTAACTGTCGATGTTTAGTTTTTGGGTCCAGTATTTAAAAAAAACTAAGTGAAGTACTATTAGAGTAGTTCACGAAATTGCAGCTTAATCGTTTTGTTGTCAAAAGAGTTGTAGCGATGCGTTTGAGTTGAGCGGCGGTGCGTCTGCACATGTAAGGTGCATCTAAGACTATTCTGACGTACTTCTTTAATATGTATAATTCTCTTTAGTTCTTTGTTATATTAATTTGTTTCTTCTTTAGATTTTCTTTAATATTGTCTTTTTCTAGTTGCCATATGTTTAAGTGTCGTCGGACAACGGGATTTGGATGCACCTCGAAATTATCAGTTAGATTGTGAATTAGAAATATAGATTGCAGATAATGGTTCTACTAAAATTGTTACCTCACCGATAGTGAATAGTTATCAATTTATGAAAACTTCAAAATATAATGCAAAAAAAATGCTCATTTTTTTATTTATGTTAAATGATATGTACTTTTAAAAATCTACTTATAAGTAATAGGTATTATTAAGCTAGAGATAATGTTTGGTTTTCGTGTTTGTGCTAATAAAATTGTCAAGTGCTAATCTCTAGAACTACCAGGCCGAAAAATACTAGTACAGTTGTGGCACAGTAAAAAGAGGTGAACACGTATATTTTGTGGAACAGGTATATATTGTAGGGAAATGCACTTGATCTCCCAGGTGGTGATGTGGGTCTCACCGGCTAGAAGAGCCGGTACTACCCACTAAAACCCGACATTCCCCTCCCCTCCGCCTTAATGGGACGCCGCAGGATCGCTTGCGCATAACTACTACGGCGCCGCGGCGGCAGGTCTGCCAACGGCTGACCATCAAACCAATGGGGCTGCTTGCTCCACAGTCAACTCTGCTACACCAGAGAGGTACCCTGAGTTGCCCCATTAAACCGAACCTCCGCCCACCGAAGTGGGCCACCTCCAATCGGCTGCAGAGGACAGGGAGAGCGGCAACGAAACACCGACACTCCTCTTCCCCTGCAGCCCCACGCGTCCGCCATCAAACGGTGGCGGCCCCGTCTAGGCCGCGGAAGGTAGGTAGGTAGGCCGGATGCGGGCCTGCGACCACAGTCCTGCAACCGGCACCCATCATCCGGTTGTAGGACCAAGCGGTCCCACCACCGGTGGCCGCAACGTCTTCGGCTTGAGGCCTAGACGAGCGGTCACACCCAAACCACTTAGTCCGCGCCGGATTTCTCCGGTACCATCTGCCGCCCTAAGCCGCCACCTGGGGGACGCGTCCGGTAGGAGTTGGCTTCTCCCCCGGGAACTGGTATATGGCCTAATGTAACGATTGTCAAGAATTACCAATTTTAATAGCGAACGGTTTCGATGTTAAAGCGTTGCTCGTGACTTGTGAAGAGTGATCTTTACAAATAGAACAATTATTCATTATAAACAGCCCCCACGGCGGGGCTCTTTGACCGCCCGTGCAATGGGGAAAAATTTTGCCTTTTCAGCAATTCTGATCATAAATAATTCTTTGCCCATATAAACTTTATTACCACCTTTTACCCCTTTCAGGGATGAATTTCGAAATAAATCAAATAAACATATTTCTTATTTTTTATCTTAAAGTTAAACGTCAATTTCTCTGTATTTCACAATAAGTATGACAGTTTCATACAATCTTAAATCCCCTATTTTACCCACTTAGGGGCAGGGGCGGCCTTAGCCATTGCGAGGCCCCGGGCAGGAGATCTTTGCGAGGCCCTTATTTTTTATGAAATTTATGTGAATTGAAAATATTTTTAATGATGATTCTTGACGAGAAATATAAAAGATATAAATAAATAAATTTTTAAAAATTGTATATTGCAAATTTAGAAAAGTTAAAAAGCACAAAGAAGACAAAATTATTTTGTCAACATTTTTAGGTTTTGCGTGACTCGCCATTAATTCTATTAGCTCATTTTGAATTATTTTTCAGAGATAGTGGACATTATTTGTATCTTTTTAGTAGCGCTAGATTCACACTAGGGGCACTCCGGGCTAGTGCTCAGGGCGGCAAATTCTTAGAGGCAGCAAAATTCGGAGGGTGGGGAAAAAAATGTCTTCACGTTATCGAACATGCTTTTTTTATTTCCCAAAAAATGAATAATTAAAGAAGATTAACTCGTAGATACATTTTTCGAACAATTAATATCACTTATAAATTATTATTTCTGCATTTTTCAAAAAAAATATTATTGAAACTATTCATTTTATGCAAAGTTGCGATAATAGGGCGGCATTTTTTTATAGTGTCCAGGGGCGGCACTAAGGTTGAATCTGGCACTGCCCTTTAGAATTCACAAGCTC